TCAATGCTGACGATGAGAAGTGCTGTCTATAACATTAGAATAAGACAGGGCTCAGGAATGGCTGAAGTATAGATACTATATCACTTTCGACTTTGCATGCAGACCATAAATATCACATGAAACGTTCCACAGATGACTTGTAACATGTGATTATGCCAAACAGAATGGCAAATGCTGTAACATGAAATACACCTTAAAGGTACTGGTTCAGTGGCTGTTCCGCTCCAGAAACCATCAATAACATCACATTCAATATAAACGGGGGCACGGGTGGCCCAGTCATCTAAGGTGCCGAGTTTCGCTGTGCGCTGTCCCTTGGGCACGCCAGAAACCTGTGATTGTGGGTTTGTCAGCACCATACCCGTGCTCATGGGTTTCACCGAAGTGGTAAGCGTCTTAGACCTTCATCACTTCGGGCTTTCCTCCTACATTAAGCTGACACGCCGTGATAAAACTGGAATACTGTTAAAAGCGGCGTTAAACCCAACTCACTCACTCCTGGCAATGAACAAGTCCCCCGTCATAACATTGCTGGATACAAACAGTGAAGACCCTTGCAGTGTCCCCTGTCATCATGTAGGTCTAAGACGTTTACCACTTCGGTGAAACCCACGAGCACGGGTATGGTGCTGACAAACCTAGAAACATAATTGTGGCGAACCGGGATTCGAACCCACAACCATAGGTTTCTGGCATGGGAAGCAACTCTGCACAGTCGACTGGGCCACCCGTGTCCCCTCATTGTCTGGAAATCATCATGATTTGTTTACAATTTACAACCGTTTTTTTATCACTGAATGATAGTAATGCAAACCGCCTAGTGGTAGAGCGTCCGCCCGGAGAGCGGAAGGTCCGGGGTTCGATCCACGGCCCCTTCATACCAAAAGACGTTAAAAGATGGTACTTGTTGTTACCCTGTCTGGTGCTCGGCATTAAGGGGCTAAAACAAGGACTGGTCGGCTCGGAGTCAGTATACTGTGTCTGAGTGGGGTATTCATGTTAAACTGCGGCATGGTATCTCAGTGTGCTAGCACTTTAAATCAGCATCAGTCCGGACTAGTACAAGCAGCCACACACATACATACACGTGCATAGACGTCGCTATATAAGTACAATAATCTTGGACGCGACGTTAAACCCCTTTTCAACTCACCTGATAGTATTACATCCTGTTTGGATATTCCTAACTGAAATCTAAAATTTAGAAACTGGAAAGTTTTTCAAATGTGTTTGCAGAAAGGGTCTCAGAGGATGACTTGTCACAACCGCCCATGTAAAGAGAAGGAGGTTTGTGTGCCAGTTGAAGCAGGGGTTAAATACCTCTGTCTGGCCCCAGGAGTCACTACCTCCACAACCGCAGCACCAGTGACAGCGACAACTACGACCGCCACGACAACAGCTACATTGACTTCCACGACATCAAGGACGACACCAATTACAACAACAACCATGACTCTTTCAACTACCACCACCACGACACCAATTACGGCAACAACCACGACTCTATCAACTACAACTACCACCACACCAACTACACCCACTACTAATCAGCCAACGACTCCACCAACTACGACTTCTACTACGCCATGTCCTGAGGGTAGGTGTAGCTGGACACGTCCCCTGCCACTGCCATTATGGGGATGTCATTCCGGAAGCAGTGTTAATAATAACATTTTTTAAAATAATAATAATAATCTCAAATATTAAGTACTCATGGGGTAAAAGTTAATTTGATGATATCCTGTCTATGATATTATGTCACCCTTTTCATCCTTTCCTTTTCACTGTTTTATCATGTTGAGTGGCGACACGCCTTTTTATCCTTTCCTTTGTTTGTTTGTTTGTTGCTTAACGCCACACTCAGCAATATTCTAGCTGTATGACGGCGGTCTGTAAATAATCGAGTATGGACCAGACAATCCAGTGATTGACATCATGAGCATCGATCCACGCAATTGGGATCGATGAAATGCATCAACCACCCGATCCCTTTAGTCGTCTTTCACGACAAGCATAGTCGCCTTTTACTGCAAGCATGCGTTGCTGAAGACCTATTCTACTCCGGATCTTCACGAGTTTTTCCATGGTATGAGTGAGTGAGGGAGTCAGTGAGTATGCTTTTAGCAATATTCCAGCAGGGGACACCAGAAATGGGCTTCACACATTGTACCCATATCGGTAATCGAACACGGGTCTTCGGCGTGACGAGCGAACGCTTTAACCACTAGGCTACCCGACCGCCCCCTTTCCATTGTAATATACACCATGCATGTATTTCGTAACCTATCACTTGTGACTGATGACATCAAATTTATTTTTGTCATCTCGTGATCTTCCTTAATAATCCAATCTTACAGACTCACACACATACGTTGGGTGCTACGAAGATGATGCGTCTCGCGTCCTTCCAGGCAGCCATCTTGTGAGAGATACAGACCTGACAATTGAAACTTGCAAGCTGCACTGCCACGGAATCAACGACACCCACTTTGGAGTGGAGGTACACAAAGATGTTATTCAATATGTTTTTGCCTCAACCGTCAACAATGCATATACCATTAATCACATCTCCAACCAAGCCTACCAGAAAGAAACATCACTATTTCATTTTCAAAGCAGTTTCAGTAGTGATCAGTAGCTGTTTCTAACTGTTTCTTTCACAGTCGCCATGCCACACTTGGCCAACGCACTGGTCGAGGAAAGCTACCAAGCAGGAATACTTAGACTTTTTGTATATATTTGAATATAAAGCTGGCTTGAAAAAGAAAAGCAAGTCTATTTTCATTCAAAATCGTCTATAAGAATGAACTTCAATATATTATAACATTGATAAACATTATTTTTTCTTCCCTTATGTTACAGAAGGGTAAGATATTAAAAATAATATCAATTCGAGGCAAGATGCTGGCTATCTCAGTTACGGAACATGCTACCATTGGGAAGTTATTAATCCCTGAAATTAATGTGGCGTGAAAAGTTGATATCAGTAGGGGTGCACCTGGTATTAAGGGGTGAATATTTAATATATTCAGTAGTAGCGATGCAAACACTATCGAGGCACATGCTTACTTGACACTATCCCCTCGCACATTTGGTAGGAATAAGGTCCCCTATTGCATGTCGTATAACGGGAGTAAATGGAGGATGGTTCTTGTTTTTTGTACCAGCATATTAGACCAACACATGAGTGAGTGAGTGAGTTTGATTTTACGCCGCTTTTAGCAATATTCCAGCAATATCACGGCGGGGGACACCAGAAATGGGCTTCACACATTGTACCCATGTCGGGAATCGAACCCGGGGCTTCGGCGTGACGAGCGAACGCTTTAACCACTAGGCTACCCGACCGCCCCACCAAAACATGAGCTCAGTTCATGAGTCTAGTAATCAGATCAACACGTTAGACGAGTACATGAGACTGATACATGAGGTCAGAACATCCTACCAATACACCACACTGGTACATGAGGTCAGAACATCCTACCAATACACCACACTGGTACATGAGGTCAGAACATCCTACCAATACACCACACTGGTACATGAGGACAGAACATCCTACAATACACCACACTTGTACATGAGGTCAGAACATCCTACAATACACCACACTTGTACATGAGGACAGAACATTCTACCAATGCACCACACTTGTACATGAGGTCAGAACATCCTACAATACACCACACTGGTACATGAGGTCAGAACATCCTACAATACACCACACTGGTACATGAGGACAGAACATCCTACAATACACCACACTGGTACATGAGGACAGAACATCCTACAATACACCACACTGGTACATGAGGTCACAACATCCTACAATACACCAGACTGGTACATGAGGACAGAACATCCTACCAATACACCACACTGGTACATGAGGTCACAACATCCTACAATACACCAGACTGGTACATGAGGACAGAACATCCTACCAATACACCACACTGGTACATGAGGTCAGAACATCCTACAATACACCACACTGGTACATGAGGACAGAAAATCCTACCAATACACCACACTCGTACATGAGGTCAGAACATCCTACCAATACACCACATTGGTACATGAGGTCAGAACATCCTACAATACACCACACTGGTACATGAGGTCAGAACATCCTACAATACACCACATTGAAACATGAGGTCAGAACATCCTACCAATACACCAGACTGGTACATGAGGTCAGAACATCCTGCAATACACCACACTGGTACATGAGGTCAGAACATCCTACCAATACACCACACTGGTACATGAGGTCAGAACATCCTACAATACACCACACCAATACATGAGGTCAGAACATCCTACCAATACACCACACTGGTACATGAGGTCAGAAAATCCTACCAATACACCACACTCGTACATGAGGTCAGAACATCCTACCAATACACCACACTGGTACATGAGGTCAGAACACCCAACCAATACACCACACTGGTACATGAGGTCAGAAAATCCTACCAATACACCACACTGGTACATGAGGTCAGAACATCCTACAATACACCACACTGGTACATGAGGTCACAACATCCTACAATACACCACACTGGTACATGAGGTCAGAAAGTCCTACCAATACACCACACTGGTACATGAGGACAGAACATCCTACAATACACCACACTGGTACATAAGGTGAGAACACCCTACAATACACCACACTGGTACATGAGGTCAGAATACCTTACAATACACCACACTGGTACATGAGGTCAGAACATCCTACAATACACCACACTGGTACATGAGGTCAGAACATCCTACAATACACCACATTGGTACATGAGGTCAGAACATCCTACCAATACACCAGACTGGTATATGAGGTCAGAACATCCTACAATACACCAGACTGGTACATGAGGTCAGAACATCCTACGAATACACCAGACTGGTACATGAGGTCAGAACATCCTACAATACACCACACTGGTACATGAGGTCAGAACATCCTACCAATACACCACACTGGTACATGAGGTCAGAAAATCCTACAATACACCTCACTGGTACATGAGGACAGAACATCCTACCAATACACCACATTGGTACATGAGGTCAGAACACCCAACCAATACACCACACTGGTACATGAGGTCAGAACATCCTACCAATACACCAGACTGGTACATGAGGTCAGAACATCCTACCAATACACCACACTGGTACATGAGGTCAGAACATCCTACAATACACCAGACTGGTACATGAAGACAGAACATCCTACAATACACCAGACTGGTACATGAGGTCAGAACATCCTACCAATACACCAGACTGGTACATGAGGTCAGAACATCCTACAATACACCACACTGGTACATGAGGTCAGAACATCCTACAATACACCACAATTGTACATGAGGTCAGAACATCCTACAATACACCACACTGGTACATGAGGACAGAACATCCTACAATACACAACACTGGTACATGAGGTCAGAACATCCTACCAATACACCAGACTGGTACATGAGGTCAGAACATCCTACCAATGCACCACACTGGTACATGAGGTCAGAACATCCTACCAATACACCACACTGGTACATGAGGTCAGAACATCCTACCAATACACCACACTGGTATATGAGGTCAGAACATCCTACCAATACACCACACTGGTACATGAGGTCAGAACATCCTACCAATACACCACACTGGTACATGAGGACAGAACATCCTACCAATACACCACACTGGTACATGAGGTCAGAACATCCTACAATACACAACACTGGTACATGAGGTCAGAACATCCTACCAATACACCAGACTGGTACATGAGGTCAGAACATCCTACCAATGCACCACACTGGTACATGAGGTCAGAACATCCTACCAATACACCACACTGGTACATGAGGTCAGAACATCCTACCAATACACCACACTGGTATATGAGGTCAGAACATCCTACCAATACACCACACTGGTACATGAGGTCAGAACATCCTACCAATACACCACACTGGTACATGAGGACAGAACATCCTACCAATACACCACACTGGTACATGAGGTCAGAACATCCTACCAATACACCACACTGGTATATGAGGTCAGAACATCCTACCAATACACCACACTGGTACATGAGGTCAGAACATCCTACCAATACACCACACTGGTACATGAGGACAGAACATCCTACCAATACACCACACTGGTACATGAGGTCAGAACATCCTACAATACACCACACTGGTACATGAGGTCAGAACATCCTACAATACACCACACTGGTACATGAGGTCAGAACATCCTACAATACACCACACTGGTACATGAGGTCAGAACATCCTACAATACACCACACTGGTACATGAGGACAGAACATCCTACAATACACCACACTGGTACATGAGGTCAGAACATCCTACAATACACCAGACTGGTACATGAGGTCAGAACATCCTACAATACACCACACTTGTACATGAGGTCAGAACATCCTACCAATACACCACACTGGTACATGAGGTCAGAACATCCTACCAATACACCACACTGGTACATGAGGACAGAACATCCTACAATACACCACACTGGTACATGAGGTCAGAACATCCTACCAATACACCACACTGGTACATGAGGACAGAACATCCTACAATACACCAGGCTGGTACATGAGGTCAGAACATCCTACCAATACACCAGACTGGTACATGAGGTCAGAACATCCTACCAATACACCACACTGGTACATGAGGTCAGAACATCCTACAATACACCAGACTGGTACATGAGGACAGAACATCCTACAATACACCACACTGGTACATGAGGACAGAACATCCTACAATACACCACACTGGTACATGAGGTCACAACATCCTACCAATACACCACACTGGTACATGAGGTCAGAACATCCTACCAATACACCACACTGGTACATGAGGACAGAACATCCTACAATACACAACACTGGTACATGAGGTCAGAACATCCTACCAATACACCACACTGGTACATGAGGTCACAACATCCTACAATACACCACACTGGTACATGAGGTCAGAACATCCTACCAATACACCAGACTGGTACATGAGGTCAGAACATCCTACAATACACCACACTGGTACATGAGGTCAGAACATCCTACAATACACCACACTTGTACATGAGGTCAGAACATCCTACAATACACCACACTGGTACATGAGGTCACAACATCCTACAATACACCACACTGGTACATGAGGTCAGAAAATCCTACCAATACACCACACTTGTACATGAGGACAGAACATCCTACAATACACCACACTGGTACATGAGGTCAGAACATCCTACCAATACACCAGACTGGTATATGAGGACAGAACATCCTACCAATACACAACACTGGTACATGAGGTCAGAACATCCTACAATACACCACACTTGTACATGAGGTCAGAACATCCTACAATACACCACACTGGTACATGAGGTCAGAACATCCTACAATACACCACA